CGTGTCGGCTTTAGGTATTCTCCGGGAGTTAGTTTTCGAACCCAATAAACGCCGGTAGGAAAACGGTGACCAGTCTAAATCCCTTGCCCTCAAAGTTTAACTCAATGAGAAAATGCTCCTTCATTTCAACGTTTTAGAGATCCGTACCCAACAACCGGCGTTTTCGCGTTTTCTTGGCCGTGGTTTCTCACCGTCGTCGCCATGTCAAGGTTTGTTCATCAAGCTGGATTTTGTTCTCATAGACCCATTTCGTCTCCCATGTTCTTGTGTCTTGTCATGAATTCTGATCGGATTTCTGTTTCCCATTTCCTCGGAGACTGATTTATGATTTAAAATGTAGAATTTTTATTGAATTTATGTGTAAAGTTTCGAAATTTAGTGTTGTTTGGATCATTCTTTAGGCTTTCCTAGCTGATGATTTTTTGCTCTTTTGTAGATTTTTGATCTTTAGAATCGTTGAAAAGCATACGCAATCGATTTTATCGAATCAGAAGGAGAGAGGATCCCAGTGGGGAAGCTATAGAACTGCTGTTATAGCTGCTTTAAGGTCGCCTCAATTCAGAGTTTACTCTTCTTCCTCTGCTAGAATTCCGATCAATGGAAGTCTTTTGAGTAATCGCTTGTCGCGATGTTATTCTACGGCATCTACGAGAAATGTAGTTACTTCTCATGCTCAAGTTGCTTGGAAAAGGCTTCATCATAAATATTCTGTGTGCCATTGGAGCTTACCTCGTATAAGTACTATTGCTCAAGCGTTCAGCTTGTCTCTTACCCGTTCACACTTGTTAATACCCGGCATCGTTGCTGTAACTTGTGGACAAGTAGCATGGGCGCAAAGAGCTCCTAGTTCGGCGATAGATTATTCTTCAAATAAATCCCTCTATACAAGGGCAAAGAATGGTCCTATCTTTCTGACTTCGTTATTGTTTTCGCTTATAGAGGGTTTTATTTTGATTGGGAGGGCTTTATATATAGCTTGTTTGTTTACTCCTAGTGTTCTGATGGGGCTTGTTGTGGAATTATGTGGGCCTCGTTTTAGGAAAATATGGCTTGAGATGGTACATCAAACTCTGGAAAGAGCAGGTCCTGCTTTCATCAAATGGGGTCAATGGGCAGCCACACGACCAGATCTCTTCCCCAAGGATTTGTGTTCACAGCTCTCAAAGCTTCACAGTGATGCTCCTCAGCATAGTTTTGCACACACTAAGAAAACTATCGAGAAGGCATTTGGTCGTAAACTTTCTGAGATATTTGAAGAGTTTGAAGAGAAGCCAGTGGCATCCGGGAGTATTGCCCAAGTGCATAGAGCTTCTTTGAGGTTTCAGTATCCAGGACAAAAGTCCAAGTCTTCGTTGGTTGCTGTAAAAGTTAGACATCCAGGTGTTGGTGAATCGATTAGGAGAGATTTTGTGATTATTAATTTGGTGGCAAAGGTATCGACTTTAATTCCGGCTTTGAAATGGTTGAGATTGGACGAGAGTGTGCAACAGTTTGGTGTCTTCATGTTGTCTCAAGTTGATCTGGCGAGGGAAGCTTCTCATTTGAGTCGGTTCATATACAACTTCCGCAGATGGAAAGATGTATCTTTTCCTAAACCTGTGTATCCACTTGTACATCCTGCTGTTTTGGTGGAGACATATGAGCACGGAGAAAGCGTGGCTCTTTATGTTGATGGCATGGAAGGACATGAATGGATTAAGACTAGACTGGCTCACATCGGGACTCATGCTCTATTGAAGATGCTCCTGGTATTAGCATATTTGTAGTCTCTTAAGATCGCTTATAACTGATATAAGCTTCATCGTTGCTGTTAATCTCAAATTGAAATGTGACTTCAGGTTGACAACTTTATTCACGCTGACATGCATCCGGGAAATATCCTTGTCCGGAAAAAGGCTTCCCGTGGAGGCCTTTTCAACACGAAGAAGCCTCACATTGTTTTCCTTGATGTGGGAATGACTGCGGAACTTGCAAAGAACGACCGAGAAAACTTACTTGAATTTTTCAAGGCGGTTGCACTTAGGGATGGCCGAACTGCTGCTGAGCGAGCACTTAAATTATCAAGAAAGCAGAATTGTCCTAATCCAGAGGCTTTTATTGAGGTAAGAATCTCTTTTCCCAAGGTCTTTATATGTCAGAAAACGCTTGAGTTGTCATATATGTGGAAGATATCGTTCAAAAATTTCCTAATTTTGTGATAACTAATACGTTTATATTCTGACAGGAAGTAGAGGAAGCATTCAAATTCTGGGGGACCCCTGAGGGAGATTTAGTACATCCAGCAGATTGCATGCACGAATTACTTGAGAAAGTAAGACGTCATAGAGTTAATATTGACGGGAATGTGTGCACTGTGATGGTAACAACATTAGTTCTCGAGGTGAGCCAAAATCGTTCCTGTTTTCAATTTTTTTATGGAGATTTCAGATCATGCTAAGTTTCATGGAACATGGCTTTAGAATGCATTCCTAAAGAGCATAGGACCAAAAACTAAGCTTATTATAGGAACTGAGATGTTGCCTTTGAACTGTTTGTACCTTAGAGCATGGTAACTGACTAACTGTAGCCTAGTTTGATCCAGTTACTGTTTATAAACTCTGGGGAGATTTAAGTTTGCTTCAATGTATTGGAATCGGTTTTGGTTATAGGGTTGGCAACGGAAACTTGATCCAGGATACGATGTGATGCACACGCTACAAACAATGGTGCTGAAAACCGACTGGGCTAAGTCTCTTTCTTACACTATAGATGGTCTGATGGCGCCGTAGGAGAAGAAAAGTTCCATCTTTGTCAAATTTTGTTTGTCATCATCATAGGAGTCGCAACAATTTACTACATCTTAGATGGGAGAACATAGAAAGAAAGTACATGTTCTTGTGTTCCTCTCGTTTATTTTTCGTTCTTTTCTCTTCCTTAAGCTATGGATTTTGGTTCATTCTAACCACATAGAATTTGTATTTACGCGGTTGGTTTCCGATATAAACCGCCCGTTTGTTCTCTGGACCGAAGAACAGTGGACAAAAACAATGAAAAGACTGCATGAGAATGGCCCAGAGGATTTGAATAAAGTGTTTACATCCATGTATGTCTAATGTATCTATATAATTTCCCTTTTTCCCTTTTTGGCTTTTCTGATTTGATTCTGATAAGGGTTTAACTGAACAACATCAGAGCAAAATGCCACACAATACATTGTTACTGTTTCTATCATTTCTTTTTCGCAAACTATGATTTCTACTGGAAGAGCCTCATGCGTGATCTCATTATTTCGATACATGAAAGCTACACAAGGGTGATGAGTGAGCTAAATCTTCTTAGTCTGTAAATATCATACAAATTGGTGGCTATATACACATACATGGCTCTGGTACACTATTAACATACAATGATTCCTCAACATTTCTCCCTTTTAAACCTAAAGGAGCTTTCAAATGAGCTTCCATGTTTGCTATATATCACAGTTTCGAAAACAAACATGAAAGTTTTCTTCTGACATTAACTTGTTTCAATGGTGAAGCAAAATCGTTCACCAGCCAGCCGACAATGATACCAATGGCTATGGAGGCACAGAGCTTGGTTTCAGTTTATATGCAACTCCGTTGTGTGTTGTTATGGTTCAGATGACATTGTTGATACAATGACTGGAGGTGAATGCAGCTCAAGAAAAGCTTTTCCTTCGGGATAGCCGCCTACACATAGAGTATCCCCTCGACCATGCCAGATTCCGTCATGAACATTGTTCATCTCCAATGTTTTCGACTCCTGCATCAGATTACAAGCAAGTTGAGCCAAAAGGGCTTAATGGGTACAACACTACAACTTGTTTTCAAGGGAATGATATGTGAGTAATACACACCTGCGTTAATGTACAGAATGGACAGACGAGATGGTGGATACAATCGTCAAAGAAACTATCAGCGCCCTGTGAGAGTAAGTAAGAGAAGCGAAAGGTCATGACTCATGATGCAGGTAAAAAAGACATAGTTTCTTAACATACTCCGGAGTAAACAAGGAATGTGCTTACTCTAATGTTAAACTTCCTTCTTATCTGCATACGGAAGAAACCCAAGTAGGATCCAATCAAAAGGACGAAAGCTATAGCCAAATAGAGAAAGCAGTGCCTCTTGGTTACAGCAAAAGCTGCAACGTTGAATAGAACACCGCCGATAAGAATCATATGAACAGCACCCTGACACACACACACATTTGTAAAGAGGATGAGAAGTCAATACATTTAAAAGTCAGTATCTTTCAATGATTGCAACTCGAGAATAAACAAAAAGGTAAGAGATCAACTGTATGTATCAAAAAAATGTTAAAAAGGGGATTTGTAAGATCTTATACCTGAAGAAAGCAAGAACCAAGACCAGCTCTTGTCATGTTTTTCCCAAATCTGTAACATGGACAGCTGAAACAAGATGAAAAAAAAAACACTCTTTCAGGAATCATAAACAACTTAATTACTCTAATTACAGTAAATGTTTGTCCCATCATGCACCAAATTCAAGGGGACAGAAAAAAAGCAGAATAGTCAGAATTGATGTTTCCCTCTTTCATATTGTGGGACATTTTGACCTTAATTTGACTTCAGAAATTTGTCAGCATGAATGATAAACCCCAGAATTTTCCGATTTCTGGAGAAAAGAATCCAATGCTTTCGAATTGAAGAATGATATGAGAAAAAAACACTCACCAAGCGGATTCAATACAGAGATGACGATCCTCGAAGCAATCCATAACATCGCGTTCCCAAAGCCGCAAAACACCACCGCCATAT